AAAAAAAAAAAAAAGTAAACCCTTTCATTCTGCGTAAAGCAGAATAACATCCCGATCAGCTGTTGCATGTATTATGAGAAAGAATTTCGGTTAAAGGCTGAAGTGGCGGCACAGGGTTTAATTTGAAAGAGCTTTGCTGAAAATCGATCAGTATAGTTAAGCTTAAAATTAGCTGATTATTTAACTGGAAAAACTGCTGTGTTCCTTACCAGTCTGTCCCTTACTAATCACAAAAAAAAGAAGAAAGAAAGTTGCGAAAGTGAACCTACGCTAAAGGAAGGCACACTGAATGATACTGGAGTAGCGGAGTTGATTCGACTTGCAGGGCTAAGAATCTCATCAACTTTAGCGTAAATAAGTTCATTTATTTCTTTGTCAGAATAGGGGTGGTTAACAGATAATGATTCACGACCACTGAGACGTTCATCGGTGTTTTGATCAAACAGCTGTTATAAGAAAATTATAAAATATCTGTAAATTATAAAAAAAAACCTGTAAAACTTTGTTCACTTTAAAACCTATGGTACGAGCAAAAGAAAAAAGCAGAAACTTACTTACAGTAAATTAAACGAAACGAAAAAACGAAGCATTAATCACCTGATTGTGTGTGACACCGATTTGTGTTAGGTAATCAGTAACTGACGATGTTAAAGATATAGAATCAGGTTCAATGCCGGAATCGGGCATAGATCGAGGCATTGATCTACCAATAATAGTACTTTCCAATTTACTTAAAAAAACCATTTAAAAATCTTGAAGTTTCTATAAGCTATTTTCCAATGACATATACAATCATTTCTCGAAAGAAAAAAATACTGTTTTATTACCGCAACTGCTCGTTTACATTTCTATTTTGAAGTCTTGCAGATTCTTCACCATATGCGCTTTCTTCAGCAGGCAATACCGTCTGTAAAATATTTTTTAACCTTCTGGCCTCCGAAAAAACAAATAAAGAAAAGGCATTTGGTAATAACTGGGAAAAAAAACGATTCATTGACATCTCTTTACCTGTTCTCCCATATTCGGTGGTGCTGGCAGCGGCATAGTTTGTCGTTCATATGTGAACTTTGGTGATCTACGATAGATGTCGGCCATTACAGCAACGTTACCACGACTTATGCTGTATACCTGCGTAAATGTTGAAAATCTATATCTTTCTTAAAAAATGTTAATTTTGCAAGCATTTTTAATGTTGTTTTTTTAAAAAACAGGTGTAATAAAATTAATAATGACCTGTTTTTGCGGCTGTTTTTCTTCTTCAATACGTTTTCGCATTTTGAAAACTAGAAATGCCACAGCAGATGCAAAAATTAGCAAAAGAAGGATTGAAATAACAGTTACAAACGACGTATCAGCCAAAGCGCCGGTTGACATTTTGGAGTCTTCACTAAAGTCGCCAATCTGAAACGAGACTTTTGTATACATACAAATAAGCAAAAAAAAGGTTGAATGTGTATAATGACTAAAGCTTACCTCAATAAGCAACTTGGTTTTCGAGTGGAGTGTTCCTGAACTGGCAACCACAGTAATTTCGTCAGTAGAATGATTCCAACCTACCAAACTTTTCTCAAGAAACGCCTGTCCTGTTTCCGGATCGATGGTAAGGTAATGTACACTCTTATTTTCGAAGAAATATCTAACGACACCATCAATTCCAGAATCCCGGTCGGTTGCTGTAATAATTCCAACTCGTTCACCAGCCTGCGCAGTGTTAGGAATCTATAAAACAGCCTACTAATGGAGAAAATAATAAATTGTAGAAAAAGAAGGAACAGATGCTATCATTCTAAAAATCCTCACAACTTCTCTCGTTGTCAGAAAAGTCCAAGTCAACTCTAATAAAAGAGAAGAGGATGAAATACCCGAAAAACAAATGATTTCTTGGTAAATGTTGGGGGATATTCGTCTATTCCAAGCACATTAACCCGTATTGGCACAACAGCAGATCGTGAAATTCGATCGCGAACTATCAGTGAAAATTCATAAGACGTTCTTGTTTCATAATCTAATTTTGCTCGAATTTTAATATCACCAGTAGAACGGTTACAATAAAAAATCTGAAAACCAGGTTCTCAAATGACATACAACGTATGCAGGCAAAAGGCAAAAGCACAAAAAACTGATTGAACCTCATCATTATTTTTTAACGTATATTCCCAACTGCTTCCATGTATCCCAATTCGATTTACAGCCCTCGGTTTCAGAACAATTTCGCCAGCAGCAAGATTTTCAAAAACACTTTTTTGGTAATATGGAACTATGAAAAATGGTGCACTTCCAGACCAAGCATCAATATCAAATACGACAGATACAGAAGTCATATTCCACTTTGGAGGTTCTCCATTGTCATAAGCAACAATAAATAGGTCAGGAAATTTCTTCTGCTCTCTGAGTGCTTCTTCACTCCACTTAGCAAAATATAATAATCCAGTAGCCTGATCAAGTCGAAACATTTCAAACTCATTACCAGCAACTAATTCATAAAGAACTGTATTGTTCAAGTCTGCATCAGAAGCTGTAAACCTAAAAAGTTACTACGTAATTTAAACCCAGTTACCATCGAGAAAATGTGACTGAAAATTTGTTTCAACACTAACGTCTAGTAGAAGTTAAGATTCAAACAGAGATATACCTCATCAGTACATCGTTTGCTTTCATATTTTCTGAAACAAGCACACTCTTAGAATGGGGTGCAAAAAATGGGGTATTATCGTTAACGTCAGTTATTCGTACTTCCACATTCGCTTTTGTTCTCCCCAATGAAAACTTCGAAGAAGCTTCCACCTAGAAAACCACTTATATTTGTAGCTAATTAAGTCTTACAGTAAAAAAGCGAAAAAATTAACGCGAAAAAAACCAGCTAGAATTTTAGCCAAAAATATCATATCACTTACTGAAAATTTGTATTCAGCAACTGTTTCCCTATCCACTGAACGTCTCAACATTAGTGCCCCGTTAGAATCGACATCAAATACTGAACCGCCGAGATTGTCTGTTATTTGGTAATCAATCAAAACTTCAGAAGTTCCAGGAATTTTCAGGTAACCAAAAGTTACGTATGCTGGCATATCCTCAGGTATAACAAAGCTGAAACGGTTATCGTCTGCTATATGTGATTTACAAATTTCAGTCAACAAAAAATATTTCAAAAAAATGTGAAGCAGAATACATATCTACTTAAAATTTAAGTTATATTTGTTTCCTCTTTCCTTTTCTTTGGTTTAACAGAATAGTACCTGTATAGTTTTTTTTCAAAACTTGGAATATACGACATGACGTTGTCGATTACACGTATTCTGACAGTAACTGCTGAACTTAAAGGTGGAATACCGTGATCAAATGCTTGAACCTTTAGGTAGTATGTAGAAGTTGATGATAATACAACAGTGTTGTGAATTACTCCTAAAAAGCTAATTGATATTTATTAAAATAATCCACTGAAATAATCTAGCTAACCACAATATTCTGAATAGTTTTCAATAAGCTTGCTTTTACACAAAAAAAAAAACAAGAGAAGTGCAAGATAATAAATTTTTGCTACAGAAAACTATAGAAGACTTAAAAACATCATAGAGAAGTATACCATCTGAGCTGTTAATTTGGAAAAGATTGCTGTATCTTGAGAAGTTGTATGATATCATTCCATTGCTACCAAAGTCCATATCTCTGGCTGCAACGGCAGCAATCCGCCTGCCTACCGGCAAATTTTTTTCTACTGCTACGTCATAAAAGTTCTTTTCAAAATGTGGTGCATTATCATTCTCATCAATAACCTCAACAACAAACGTACTTGTAGTACTATGCACACCGTCGTATGCCTGCAAAGCCACAGTGTACTAGATATATTTTAAACAAAGATTAACAAAAGCAAACTATTTAAACAGCAAAAAGTTATCGTTCTACAACTGATTTTACATAGCTCAACCTGGATTTTTAATTCGTGACGTGAAGAAGTTTCGTAGTCTAGTTTGTTTTTTGTGTGAATGACGCCAGAAAACCTATTGATGTCAAAAAACTTGTTGCGAGCAATTGAGTACTCGATATAACTGTCAACATCAACATCAGTAGCGATCACCTTTCCTATTACAGTGCCTACTGGTACTGCTGAAGCGAAGTATAATCAGTAAAGAAATACAGATTAACCAAATCATCATACGAGTCATTGCAGATAATTTTTCTACTTACATTCTAAAACATGATATGGTCGCATTTTTCTTATCAGTGGCGCATTATCGTTCACGTTTAAGACTGCAAATAACGATGCTTACAACAGATTATTCTAAACTTAACATACTGTATTTTCTAAATCAGAAAAAAACATTCAGCTATCAGCAAATATATCTAAATAAAAAGTAGCTAAAACCTCTGATATATGCAGTAGTTACTGGCGATGTTTTATATTCACCATGACCAATAATTTTCAAGTTATATTCAGCTTGAATTTCACGGTCGAGTTCTTGCCTTGTTCGTATAGATCCGCTATCGTCAATCTCAAATACATTGTCTACGTTGCCACTGACAATACTGTAAACAAGCGGTGCATCTCCTATTATTCGATCAGTGCTACTAACCTTAAATTGTTCATTCTGTTTAACCACAACAATGCAACACAACCAAAATTTTATTTTATGACCGCTTAAGGTTCACCTTTAAAGCGGTTTCGCCTTTCGGGGCGCCTTCAAACACAAACCCAATATAACGTTGACTTAAAAACGACGGTTCATGAGCTTGCTCAGGTTTTCGCCGATGCAGAAGTGTACGAACAATGGCGTCATCAAAAAGTGGTAATGAGGAACCCAAATTCAGTGCTCTAATTTTCAAAACAAATTCATTGTGTATCGTCTTTAGATCCCTAAAAAACACAGAAGTTAAGACAAGCAATACTGACAAATTTTGTAAGAAAAAACCTTATAATCAGCAGTGTTAAGACAGCCAGTAGCTCATTTTCTCAAGATTGTAAGAAAAATGACCTGGCAAAAATAATGTCACCGGTTTCCGAATTGACGTCGAACATCCCGGACGCATCCTCAATTAAACTAAAATATACTTGACTGTTTTCTCCTTCATCTTCATCTATTACATTAACCTTGGCAACAACGCTGCCAACTTTTGTGTCGTCTGTGATTCTGATCAAGTCAGGAACGATACTAGTGATGTTCGGCGGATTGTCATTCTCATCTCTTACTTTAACTCTCAGCGTACAAGTATCCTAAACAGACAAATTAAAGCACATTAAAAAACGTTAACAAAGGCCAACAAATTCTCATAGTCATTCTTATTCTGGTCGTAACGTCAAGAAAAGTCTAAAAAATTTTACCGCTTGAGTCATTAAACCTTGTTTTTCTACAACAACCACAAGAAAATGCTCGCTTTTATATTCGCGATCCAGCGGTACACATGAAACGAGGCCTGTTGTGTGATTGATCGTGAACAAGTTCCTCTCATTACCAGCTGTAAGACCATTTGCAAAAACCTCTTTTATTCCAGAAAGCTTCAGAATGGCTTAAAAAACAAATCGAGAAATTTTGAACGATCAAACTAATGACCCACCAACAATCTTATACTGAAGATTTTCTTCGAGGTTGTCTGAGACGATAAAAATTTGTGCCAAATTTGGTATCACAAGATTTTCGCGAATTGTTAGATTACCACATGAAGTGGATGCAATTCTTGGGAAATCCGAACCATTTTTGGAGACTGTGATACGAATACTGGCCCAGTCACTTTGATTTTCATTACTGACAGCTATCACTAGAAGTAATACCCGCGTGATGGTAGTTTTACCTCTGAATTTTTGCAGAAGCGCGAAAAGATTTTTTTTTACAAAAAAGTTTAAAAAGTAGTTATTACCGACAAAATCGTAAGAAGAAGCTGTCAGCAAAGCGACTGTTTGGATTTTCCCGGTATTACTTATTTCAAATACTTCCTTCTCGCTGATGAAATTAGAAAAAAGCTTTAGCTCTCTCAAATCGCCGGCTAAAACAGTTAACTTTATAATTTCACGTAAACAACGCTCATTCAAAAAAGAAAAAAAAGCATAAAAAAGTTTTCAGAGACACCAATTATCTGATGAATAAAAGCAGTTGTGCGCTGAGTGGCATGCCCACTTTAGCCCCTCCAGATTTTCTCCATTCTTTGCTAACTTATAGCATTTAATACCTACTTTTGGAATCAGAATAGCTTACATCAAAAGTGGAAAAGCTGGACCGTTTCAAAGTACAAAAAAATATATAGTTTCTGCTAAGCATAGTCGTCTACAAAAACTCGTATTTCACTTTATTTGTAGCTTATACTTGTACTTATTATTCTGTTTAAAAGAGCACCTCCTAGACACTTGAAGTTAGTTACGTGCATTAACGAGTACAGTTTAAAACTAGAATAAAAACAAGAATTGTAAATGTTATTTTTTAAAAAGCGAAACATTAAATTTTTAAAAAAAACTACACCTTATAAACAGCTATTTTTTGCATTAAATATTTGAGTTGCAACGTAGCATCTTTGTAGTATCGCGAGTTACAGCGCGATTAATAGCAGTAGGCTGTAGAAAAATCTTCAACTGATGCAATAATTTGGTACCTCTGTAAGCGGTAGTAAATGTAGTAATATCCGTGACATACTTTAGTTCTACTAGTTCAATAAGACCCATCTCACTTAAAAATTTTTTACTTTCAAGTACATTTGAAAAGTTTTCTGAAAAAAAAGCTAGTGTAGCGATTACTTTTTAGTTTTTATTGTTTAACATTGATATTCGACTCTTCTGGCCTGAACATTGAAGATTCTGTTTACTAAAGTGTATTTCAATTGAGACGGTAACTGTCATTTACGGAAGCACCAGAAAATTCCGTCAATTGAAAAACTTTTGCAACCTACTGCCACTAATCGCACAGTAATTCGTGCCATTATTTGGTTCCACCTTGTAATTTTAATATGCAGTACAAAAATTAAGTCTTTTTTTTATACCTGTTTTTTTAAGTATATATTTTCTTAAAAATTTAATATATGTGTTTAAAAGGTGTGCATTCGAATAAAGCAAAAATTAGAAAAAATCATTATGAATGAACAGAAATACGAGGTTTTAAAGATGACCATAGTTACTACAAACTGCACTTTTTTCCACACTTTATAACGGCCTAACTTTACTGACAATGCGTTTTTTGAGGCAAGCCCTTTTAATTTCCCAATCAAATAGTAAAGTAAAAAAAAGTGAACATTTAAGAGGTCGACCAAAAAATGAGCTACTTAGGATGGGATGGCGAATAATAATTTTTGAAAAAATGGAATAAGCAATTCTGCAAAGCTTACTTTTGAAGGAAAAATCGTATACGACTGTACCAATGGGAATGTCTTTCATAACTTCAAAATGGTAGTGTTTGTTGATAAAAAACTTCCAGAAGTTCTTGTTTGGAGTAACAACAACCGTTAAGTTTTGTTCGGCTATATTCGGTTTACTCCCTTGGTCTGCAGCTCGGATACGTACGGAAGCAGTTTCTGAGAGACAGTCTTTCACTGTTAAAGCGCCTAAACATAAATTAATACACACATTTCTTGGCACTCGAGTAGCCACACTAAACATTTAAATAATTTTGAGGTTTTCTTCCCACCTGTTGTTTGATTGATCTCAAAAGCGTCGTTCAGTGAGCTGTCGACCACGGAGTAAACAATTTGGCCGTTATCACCCTCATCGACGTCCTTTGCAACAACGTGATGAATAACTCCTGTTATACAGCCATTTTCTTTGATATGTATCGTAGAGTCACTAAAAATTTTCTCAGTTTTATATTTTCTAGCAGAACTTATGTTAAAATGCACCTGCAACTTTTTCTCAATTATAAAAAGTATATCCAAAAAAAAAAATTGCTGGTAAAAACCTCAGAAAAAAAGGAGCATTATTGTTTGTATCGTTAATATTGACAAAAACTATGCATCGTGAATATTTCTGCTGTTTCGCTTTCACTGCACGATCCCTTGCTTCAACTACCAAAAAAGTTCGTGGAATCTAAACTTTACAATCAGAATCAATTGACAAAATCTAATTAGTTTTTAGTATATAAAATCGTACCAAACTTCTGTTCAGAGGTCGACTGACAAACAAATCTCCAGTGTTAGGATCAACCGAAAACATTTCTTCGTTGCCCACCAAGTGGTAAACCACGTCACCGTCTGGCCCCTCATCGTAATCGATAGCTCGAACTTTCGCAATTTGGGAACCTCAAAAATGAGCAATATTAATATCAGCAATAGTCTTTAATAAGACCTTTACGAGGTAACAAACAGTAAGTTAAATACGGTAAACTAATCAACAAGATTTATTCAAAAAATATTCACTTACCAACAAGAGTTTTCTCAGAAATGGTGATTATTATAGGACACTCTTCGAATTCGGGATGGTGAATGTTCTCAGAAACTACCTCAACAAATACAGGATATTTTTCTATTGTATACTCTGGAGCAATTGTTCTTATAATGTTGAGGATAAATGACGTTTCATCACTGTCAATAAGGCTGGTTGAGATGTATAACGATGACGACGCTTCATGAAGCACAAATTTGTCAGTCTGTAAGCCTGTATTATAACGAAAAAAAAAAGACGATAAAGGTTGAAAAGCTTTTAAATTTAAAAATCAAAAACCTCTGGGCTATAAAGTTACAGCAATAAAAGAAGCAGATTTTTACAACCTGATTTTGGAGGCTCCAGAACACATCGCGTTCTTCTCGTCCAATGGTGGTAATTTTAGTTCCGACAGCTGTACTCCTACCAATTCTTAAATTATAACTGTTATTCAACCTGAACTTTAAATCTCAAGCGAAGGTTAACAATGAAAACGTAAAATAAAAAAATGTGAAAGATGGCTCATTCTGGAAACAATTTAACTCTCAGATTTTCTATTAAAAAACATCAAAAGATTGATTCTTCAGCATAAATGGTCACTAAACAGTGTTAGTGCGGAACAAAAAGATAAAGGCCTACTTAATATAGGTAGTTGCACCCCTTGTTGCTGGTAAAACTGCTAATACTGGACGAATAAAAAATGTTGCTGCACGTTTCCGACCCTCATAATCATAAGCCAAAATAGTCAATCGACGATTTTTTTCAAAATATGATGCATCAAATTCACTTGTCGTCCATAAAGCATTTTGATCAATGTAAAAAAATAATGCTACATCTGTAATCATTTCTGTTATGACAAGTAAATAACAAAATTTTGTCGTCTTAAGAGAAATAGTAAAATAAAATAAACAAAGGAAACCTTTGTGCAGTTATGTTTTTTAGAACTTATTTTGATTGTTTGTTAAAAGTTAATAATCTTCATAACAATAAAAGAAAAATAAATCTGATATCTACCGCTAGCTTCGATTTCCCATCTATAAACATTTGAAGCATTCAAACCGATTACTCTACACTTTTTCAAGCAGTCGTCAGGAATCCTAAAAAGGCAGGTGAATGCAGATCTAACAGAACCCAAGGTTTTTAAGACGCAATAGAACACTTTTTGATTTGCTGCAAACATTAAATCCAAAAATTGTAGCATATTGTTAGCCTTACTTTTTCAATGCTCTTAAATGGTACTAAGAGACCGGTTTACAAGGTGTATTTAA